GTTCGGGGAACGGTGTTTGGCATTCGGGTGCTAACGGGTGCGACCTCGTAATTACGAAGTTGCACCCGGTCGCACCTCCAGTTCCGCGAAGTCGGCAATGCGTCGGTAGTTCGGGGAACGGTGTTTGGCATTCGGGTGCTAACGGGTGCGACCTCGTAATTACGAAGTTGCACTCGGTCGCACCTCCATGTTCCGCGAAGTTGGGAATCCGTCGGTAGTTCAGGGAACGGTGTTTGGCATTCGGGTGCTGGCGGGTGCGACCTCGTAATTACGAAGTTGCGCCCGGTCGCACCTCCAGTTCCGCGAAGTCGGGAATCCGTCGGTAGTTCGGGGAACGGTGTTTGGCATTCGGGTGCTAACGGGTGCAACCTCCTAATTACGAAGTTGCACCCGGTCGCACCTCCAGTTCCGCGAAGTCGGCAATGCGTCGGTAGTTCGGGGAACGGTGTTTGGCATTCGGGTGCTAACGGGTGCGACCTCGTAATTACGAAGTTGCACCCGGTCGCACCTCCAGTTCTGCGAAGTTGGGAATCCGTCGGTAGTTCGGGGAACGGTGTTTGGCATTCGGGTGCTAACGGGTGCGACCTCGTAATTACGAAGTTGCACCCGGTCGCACCTCCAGTTCCGCGAAGTTGGGAATCCGTCGGTATAGTTCGGGGAACGGTGTTTGGCATTCGGGTGCTAACGGGTGTGACCTCGTAATTACGAAGTTGCACCCGGTCGCACCTCCAGTTCCGCGAAGTCGGCAATCCGTCGGTAGTTCGGGGAACGGTGTTTGGCATTCGGGTGCTAACGGGTGCGACCTCGTAATTACGAAGTTGCACCCGGTCGCACCTCCATTTCCGTGAAGTCGGCAATCCGTCGGTAGTTCGGGGAACGGTGTTTGGCATTCGGGTGCTAACGGGTGCGACCTCGTATGGTGGCAGCCGCAAACTTGGAAGATGCACACCCAAAATTTCAGCACCCCACAATTGGAACAAAACACACCTGCCAACTTTGGATTCTTCCAAGTTTGCAACCTTCCAACTTTTGATTACCGCATGAACCGCTCCAAACGCCGGGACCTAAAGTTGGAAGATGGGACCAAGCAGACCCAATATTTAATTGCAGTTTCTCCGTCCCTCTCTCTACAACACTGAAGTAATTGCAGCTTTTCTCCCTCTGCAATACTGGAGCGGCCATGGTATTTGCAGCTTCTCTCTTTCTGCAATATTGGAGCGGTCGTAGTAATTGTGCAACTCTGGAGCGGTCCTAGGAATTGCAGTTTTCTCTCTCTGCAATATTGGAGTGGTCGTCGTACTTGCAGTTTTGCTCTCTGTGCAACACTGGAGCGGTCGTAGTATTTGCAGCTTGTCTCTGTCTGCAATACTGCAGCGGTCGTAATACTTGCAGTTCTTTTCTCTCTCTCTCTCTCTCTGCAATACTGGAGCGGTCGTAGTAGTTGCAGGTTCTCTCTTTTTGCAATACTGGAGCGGTCGTAGTACTTGCAGTTTCTCTCTTTCTCTCTGCAATATTGGAGTGGTCGAGTAATTGCCGTTTCCCTCTCTCAGCACTACTGGAGCGGTCGAAGTAATTGCCGTTTCCCTCTCTCTGCATTACTGGAGCTGCTTCCCGCGAACCGAAAGTTGGAAGATACCGTTACCGCATCAACCGGTCCAAACGCCGGGACCTAAAGCTGGAAGATGGGACCAAGTCAAACCCAAAGTTGGAAGATGCCGTTGACGCATTAACCGTTCCAATTGCCGCCTTCCAACTTTCCGGCGGCTACTGTACTGGAGCTGCTTCCCGCAAACAGAAAGTTGGAAGATACCCTTACCGCATCAACCGGTCCAAACGCCGGGACCTAAAGTTGGAAGATGGGACCAAGTCAAACCCAAAGTTGGAAGATGCCGTTGCCGCATCAACCGTTCCAATTGCCGCCTTCCAACTTTCCGGCGGCTACTGTAATTACGAAGTTGCACCCGGTCGCACCTCCAGTTCCGCGAAGTTGGGAATCCGTCGGTAGTTCGGGGAACGGTGTTTGGGATTCGGGTGCGAACGGGCACGACCTCGTAAACTACGAGGTTGCACCCGGTCGCACCTCTAGTTCCGCGAAGTTGGCAATCCGTCGGTGGTTCGGGGAAAGCGGCATGGGAATCGCAAGAGGCAAACCCCCATTCTTGGCTCGAGAACCGGGGCGAGAACCGCGGCTTGGTTTTGGGGTTGCAGGGGTATGGATGATCGCCCGAGGCAAACCCCATTCTAGAACATCGCACAAGGTACCCATTCTCGGCTCGAGAACCGGGGTTTGCTTTGGGGGTGGGGGGGTGGGCTTAGAACATCCCCCGAGGCAAACCCCCATTCTCGGCTCGCGTCTCGGGGTTTGTTTTTGAGGGTCCGGAAGTGATAGAGGTCGTTGTCGTTGTCTTTGTTGTTGCCGTTGTCGTTGTGGTTGAGGTTGTTGTGGCTGTAGTTGTCGTTCTGTTGTTGTTGGTGGTGGTCGTCGTGGTGGTGTGGTGTCGTCATCGTGTCGTCGTCGTGGTCGTTGTCGTAGTGCTGGTTGTTGTTGTTGTGGTTGTGGTTGTTGTTGTTGTTGTTGTTGTTGTGGTCGTCGTCGTCGTCGTTGTTGTGGTTGTTGTCGTACTCGTTGTCGTTGTCGCTGTTGTCAGTGGTGTAGTTGGTGGTGGTGGTGGTGGTGGTGGTGGTGGTGGTGGTGGTGGTGGTGGTGGTGGTGGTGGTGGTGGTGGTGGTGGTGGTGTCGTGATTGTCGTTGTTGTTGTTGTTGAAACACACACACACACACACATATATATATATATATATATATACATACATATTGTGTGTGTACAAATGTACACACGACATGCATGAAGATCTGTACTCGATCTTCTCGTGTAACTTCGTGATTTCATGGCGTGAACCAACCCAAAACCATACACCCCCCAGTTGCTAACTCCTCAAAATTTGGCGCTTCGGGTTGTGAGTTTAGGCACTGATTTACATGTAGCCTGTTGTTGTCTTCGTCCGTGCCTTCTACGTAATGTGAGGATGGTGGGGACTCCAATGCATGAGACATGAAACCAGAATGAAATGCCAATGAGACTTCGAGACCGGAGGTGCGATCCGAAATTCAAAACGGAGCGAGATTCGTGGAGAGGTTGAGTTATGCGATGGCACACGAACATGAATAGAACCGAAACCTGCAACAATTCTTTTAATCCATGGAGGTGGCGAGTTGCTCTTCACAGGACACATTTGAACATATCACAGCTGATCAACAACCTTCAGCAATCTACGGATATCTACGGCTCGAAGTGCCACGCATCTCGCTGCAAATGCTGCACTGACCAATTGTCGCCACCAGATTGGGGACTACCCCAGCAGACCACAATTCCATCACTCCGGATTGCAGCAAATGCTCGACTCGAAGCTTGAATCTGCTGCACATTCTTCAGCTGCTCCTGTACGGCACTGCTGTCTCCACCACAGTGGGCATTGCCCCAGGTGACCACAGATCCATCACTCAGGATTGCAGCAAATGCTTCATGCGAAGCTTGGATCTGCTGCACATTCGTCAGCTGTGCCTGTACGGCACTGCTGTCTCCTCCACAGGTAGCATCACCCCAGGTGACCACAGATCTATCACTCAGGATTGCAGCAAATGCTTGAGGCGCAGCTTGAATCTGCTGCACATTCTTCAGTTGCGCCTGTACGGCACTGCTGTCTCCTCCACAGTGGGCATTGCCCCAGGCGACCACAGATCCATCACTCAGGATTGCAGCAAATGCTTCATGCGAAGCTTTCCTGTACGGCACTGCTGTCTCCACCATAGTGGGGACTGCCCCAGGTGACCACACATCCATCACTCAGGATTGCAGCAAATGCTTCACCCGCAGCTTGGATCTGCTGCACATTCTTCAGCTGCTCCTGTACGTCACTGCTGTCTCCTCCCCAGGCAACATGACCCCAGGTGACCACAGATGCGTCACTCAGGATTGCAGCAAATGCTGTAGGCACAGCTTGAATCTGCTGCACATTCTTCAGTTGCGCCTGTACGGCACTGCTGTCCCCTCCACAGGTAGCATCACCCCAGGTGACCACAGATCCATCACTCAGGATTGCAGCAAATGCTCCAAGGGAAGCTTGAATCTGCTGCACATTCTTCAGCTGCTTCTGTACGGCACTGCTGTCTCCACCACAGTGGGCATCACCTCAGCTGACCACAGATCCATCACTCAGGATTGCAGCAAATGCTCCACCCGCAGCTTGAATCTGCTGCACATTCTTCAGCTGAGCCTGGACTGCACTACTGTCGCCACCCTTGGTCGAGAGACCCCAAGTGACCACAGATCCATCACCCAGGAGTGCAGCGAAGGCGCTGTAGTTGGCTTGAAGGTGGACTCTGTTCACATGTAGGGTGAGCACATCTCCACTCTTCAGCTCCGCTTGTTTGATAGTTTGTGCCCCGCCAAGGGTCTCGCCAGAAGAATTCAGCAGCCTCCCTCTACCCGTGAGCAGCGCACTTTGGGCACGCCGCTTCAATGAGTCAACGGAAGCATCCATTTCCACTGCAAAAGAGAAACACATTTGCCACTCAGCATATGCACATCGACAGAGATCGACATCGCAAGGAGCGAACTGGCCAGACCGAAGGCTACGGCTTACTTAGACTTAGCCACATACTTGTACTTCTACACAGTCCTTAGATCTTGGCACTGAACCCCACAGCCTGTGGCAAAACAACTTCGCCTGAAGCACCATGGAGTCTCTAGCCTCAAAAGGAGGGACCCTTAATGAGGACCCCTAGGTATATACCATTAATTAACATACCCCTTATATGTAGGGGCTCATTCCTTGAGCCATGGCCATCCTGGCCCGGAACTACTGGGTTCCCACGTGTACTTAAACCCTTTTTGAGCACGGGCTTTGGTTGTATGCCGGCAAGCTGGGCTCTCAAGGTCTTCATGAGATACCAGCAAACTTGAAACTAACTCATGTCAAGAAAAAGAACTATGTACTTCTTACAATCCACCTTGGGGCTGACTCTGTGCTTGGACCATCCTCTCCCGTCTGCGGTGCTGTCTAGCAGTCAACTTGTCCCGACAGCATTGATCCTTCAGCTGCTTCAATGTTTCAGTGAAAGCTGCATGTTGAGGAGCACAAGAAGACGAAAATGCAGACGCAGACTCCTGGAGCCTTCCCGGTTCATGCAGTGTCTTATCACCGCCCTCAGCGAAGCCATACTCCCTCTCATCAAGCCTTGTAACCGACATGTCATCCGAATCATCTGGCGCAAGCGGATGCATCGATGCAGTCATTGATGATGCAGTGCGTGCTTCTAACTGTCCTTTCAACTCTTCATTTTCGGCGATGAGCATTTCAATAGCCTGTGCCTTTTCCAGAAGGATGTTCTGACATTTTGTAGCGAGCTGCTCCATCAGCGCTTCGTATTGTGGCCTTGTGATGATCTCATGTGGAGTCTGACATGCGGCATCAAGAGATCGCTGGAAACACTGTCTTGATTTGATCTGCACTTCTGCACCATTCACAAACATGGCGAGCGTCTCGCCGAGATGGCGTTTCACCTCGCTTTCTTTCAATCTGTCAGCAAGACGCATCGCATATGCAATGCATGATGCGAGTTTCCGTTCTCCGGGGCTCTCCATGGCAGCACCCACTGACACTACAAAAGCTATACAAGACGTGCCCAGTAGGGCCTCGTAACCAAATGGCACTTGAGCCAAAATGGCTTGAGCCATAGCCATTTAAGTACCCTAAACCCTAAACCCCTAAACCCTGAACCCTAAAACGGTTTGGGGTTTAGGATCGCATATACCTTGTTGGTATGTGCTTTGCCCGTTTATCCCAAACCCTTGAAACCGCGACATACCCCTACCCAGAGAGCCCAATGCCCCTTAATTAAGGAGTATACCTTAAATCATTGGGGGCTTCATAATCTTGATTCAGCTATATTCCTTCATTGAGGGGTATTGGGCTCTCTGGGTTAGCCCAGGGCATGTGAGCCGAGGAAATCTTCAGATCTCGGCACTGAAACGTGGGGGATTTCCTAAATTCGCGCTACCCTTCTGGGCCTCCTTTTCAGAACGTCCTTGCAAAACTTTTTGGGGGCTTTCTGACGTGACCTCGCTAGACTTCACCCAACACATGGTGTGGAAGCTGAAGAAGCAATATCAAATTCAACATGTCAATGCAGCCACCGTAGTTCTACCAACGGCGAGGTGCCACCGCGCTGGCAGTGAATTGTTCCTGGAGGGCGCGACTGGCTTTGGCTTTGAGCCTCAAGGTTCTCAAGGGCTACTTGAAGAAGGCAGCGACACTGAGAATAACAGCTCCAACTGCTCTCTTTTGGTTCTGTTAAATACCTCGCTATCGTTTCGGAGTGGCACTCTGCTTCCATTTTGTTCTGTCTTTTCTGTGGAGCGCCGCTTGGTCCTGACTAGGCGGCATGACACGAGTAGGAACTCAAAATACACACAAAGACACACACACACAGAGACAGAGACGCAGAGACACACACTCACTGGCATGCGCACACAAACAACAGCAAAGTGCATCAAAAGGCAACCCACGCGACATCGCCGGTTCAATACCGATGCTACGAACAGTTCACTACTCGACTACTGGCCTAGACTAATCTGGACTGCAGAATCTACTCCTACCTTGCAGAACCCCCCCCCCCCTGCCCAATAAGGAGATGCTCTCCTGAGCTCGCTGAAGGAGATCAGCCCCTGCGCCAGCCTGGGGAGCAAAGATCGGGAGGAATCGGAGGGGGTTGTGAGTTTCTTAGGAGTGGCTGCATAAAGTGATCCCGCTACAGCTCAGGCGTGAAGTCTGAAGTTGGAGGGGAATTTCCTGGAAGCGACATGCTACTCCAAGAAAACAACATGCAAACGATTGCTGCAATGTAGTCTCTCGTCAGAGAGCATACGGCATACGGTGTCAATGAGCGAAACACGAAGCAGCCTGCAAGACAGGACTATGCTCACTGTACATGGAACACTTGCAGTTCCAAGCCTTGGCCCAAACGTCTGAGCAACGAGAGGCCGCCCTACGCAGCCCAAGGCTGTTTGCGGCAGGCACGATCACCGCTGGACTTCAGGCAGCGAGGCTCTTCGCTCTTCGCCGAAATGGGCGTCTTTAAAGTTTCGAGCGTCGAGGGGGCAAAACCATGGCGAGTAAAGATTTCGAAAATCTTCCTTCGATGACGGTTGTCAATTATTGCCGATACCATGACCATTACACCGTCGCTGTCATCGCCTACTACCATGGGCATTCCACCTGCATTGGGGTGCGACGGTGCAACATTCATCAACCTGGTATCGAGAGTAGCGCCTAGTCTTGATCACGTAACAAGCAAAGTGAACTCCGAGAGGTCCGAGACAAGCCGCAGGGCATCCGGGGTCATCGTTAAGGCAGAGCCCCCACTCCAGAGTTTGATGAGGATGGTATCCTGGTGAGAAGGGATCTATCGCTAGCGATTTCGGGCTATTTCGCACTGCACCGACACATAAGGGCTAGCCACGATCCAGAACCGGGCTTGCGTAAGGGCTTCTGAACCCTCGCTTGAACTTGGATGAAGGACACTCTACGCTGGAACGACACTCCCCTAACCAGAATCAGAGGGGGAGATGGCTGCTGACCAGTAGAGTGGTAGAGTGACTCAACACTCCTGCGGCTTCACTTCTAAGTTAAACTTATTCCAGAAGTTGCACTTGCAGCTGAGCTGGATAGAATGCCCCAGGGGGGTTCTTGTGTAAATGCACACCTTTCTCGCATAATAACATACATGCCGTCGTGTATGCATGCGCGTTCCATGACGACGCCCTACAGTTCAGAGTAGCATAGTAGCACTGAGGAGAAAATGTCTATTGGCTCGGCGCGACGTTCTGCTCCTTCCATTGTGCACTGCATGCCACAACCCGCTCAAGCTCGACATCACCCGTCCCAAACCACCAAACGACTCTCTTCAACCCAGATAGAGGTAGCCTCAGACCAAGCAGAAGAATCGAATCTGAAGCCACCCTGGCGCACTTGAGTCCTCATAGACCGGTGTCTGCACAGGTATTCTGGCACACTCGTTCCAGGTGTACCTGGGCTCTGGGCTGCGGCCATTGCAAAGCTGCCGAGCCTTTAGAAACCTAAGTGTGGACATCCTCACAGCTGCTACAAGTAAGCCCTTCTGACTCGAACAGTTCTGAATGCTTTAAACCAAGCTCCACCGCTTAACGAGATTGAGCTAAAAACTCTGCTTACACGAACAAAGCATGGCATTGATATCATTCAACCGATTGTTAAGGTAAGGCCTGGCTCCAGCAAAAGAGCTCCACAGTGGCGCGTAAACAACAACACCAGATGTACATAATCTTGTTCTCATCAGCCGTTCTCTTCAGCAGTCTCACCACCTGTATCACCTGTGATGATCTGCTTGTTCCGGTAGCTGCGTTCGAAAAAATATAGATCGAAAACTCCATCTTGATCTCCAGACCTGAGCCGGCCCTTCCAACACTTCAACACCAATGCCATGGCACTGCTCCACGTCGTACGCGGGCGTCGTTCTCACGCCTTGGCAGAGCATGGGCATGATGGGTTCAGAGTGCAACGAGCAGGCTCGCAGAAGTACCCCTCACTTATCACCAACTGCTGAGCCCGAAAGACAAAGCTCAAAACTCGACTCATAGAATGCCGCCTTCAAAACCTTACTCAATAACCTTGCCAATAACCGACAGGCCCATCTTCAAGGCCGGCAGGCATGCACCAGAGAATTCCACCGTCACGAAGGGGTTGGGATTGTACCCGCCTATCTTGGCCAAGTTCCTTGGGTCCCAGCTTGGCGGACTGCGTGAGGTTTACGAGTTCGATTACCGAAATTATCGAAAGCTCCGTCTGAGGTGTGCATAGAGGCCTTTTGCGAGTTAATTACGAAGTTCCGAGCTGAAGACCGTCTGCCAGAAGCCAAAAATTCGTGGCACCACGGGCGTTCAAAAAGAAATGGCAGCCCAGTGTTGAAGCATGTCTAGTCTTTGTACAACTGCAATTGTCCGCATGACCGCGACGAACTATACCTGTTGAGCCGAATAGAGCAGATACCTGTAACGCAAAAAAGCGGAAGGTGGAATGGCACCTGGGAGAAAAAGTTCAACAGCTTACTAACCATCCCATCGCGATATGAATGTCTGCACCAAGCTTCTCTGCCCGGTAAATATTCACCAGGACATGGTACCTGGGCCAGCATAGAAAGAAATGGCAAAGCAAAGGGATGTATCCATCTTCCCATTCTCCCGAAACCAGGTTGCGACTTGCCCGCGTCACCAGTGTCTGCAGAAGCTCCCAGCACTGCTTTGCTCAGGTCCTCTGCCGAAGTCTCCGGATTTACCACTTGCAACTCACACCTGACTGAAGCAAAAAAGAATGAGCAGCCATGTCTTAAAAATCCGTGTGCAAGGGTCCTCGAGGTCTTCAGCAGCTTCTCCCTCCTCTTTGACCTCCTCACCTTTCGGAACATCCACAGAGCACTGGTCTGTTGTCGCAGTGTTCAGGTTCAGGCTGGAAGCAAAAAAGGGCTGACAGGACTGAACACGTTTAGTTGAACATGCTTTAGTGCTGAGGGGTTTGGTTTCCAGCTGACGATTTAGCATGATCTGGCGTACTTGAACCCCTGATGGTACCGACTTGCCCCGGAGTAGCGAAAGCAGTCAATCTCCGAAATCCTCTGGGACATCAGTGAATCGATGCCCATGCTAGAAGCCGAGACCATCGTGCAACGCCTTTGCCTTGTTGACGTTATCGCCCGTAACTACAACATGTGCCTTGCAGAAGATGACGAACCCCGGCGGTTTCAGGCTGAAAATCCGAAACCCAAAGGCCTACAGCCTTTTCCAAGCCCCAAAACCCTGAAGACCCTTAAATTTCGCCTAATGCCGGTGGAGCCTTGTGGCGCCGACTCGCCCGGCTTCAGGCAGAAGACTGTGAGGGTGATCATACCTCCGGGGCTCTGATGCTCGCATACACGATCTGCAACATGTAATAGGTATAGTGTATGATATACTACAATACTGTTGTTTTTCCCTCTCGCAGGGCTGGGATACAAGACTGTTGTCAGGATGAGCGTGCCGGCTGCCAGGGCTCAATGTTCTCGAAGACCAGAAATTGTGCTTAGGCGCAGTATGGTCCGTACGGTTTGTTCAGTCAGGTATCTACTGTTTAGTGCAAAGCCCAGAGCCCGTCACTTGGCTTGCGACTATGATGAACAGGCACCAGGAGCAGGCAGAATAGAAGGCCATCTCTAAAAAACACATTGAATGAATTTTGGTTGAATGAGATCCCGACTCTCCAAGGCTTTCCAGGCTGGATCCCACATGCAGAACCAAACGATGTGGGGCTAGGTACGGGTCGCACCTGGCCGAAACATCGAAATGATAACACTTTAAACCGGCCTGCGAATTCGGGAGTGATCCTGCCATTCATGTGCTTGACTCTTTGTTCCTACATGTGTGACCGTGGAGGGTGTCGGCGCCTGTTGCGGCAGTCTCGCCCTCCTTCCGAAGAGGAAGCGACTTCTTCATATATACATGACCTGATCGGACACACTGGGGTGCAAGCATCCTTCAACTCGACAGGGCTAGCCAAGACGCATCGTATTGTGACATGCGAAACTTCTACCTTCTATAATTCTACAATGTACGAAGTCTCCCTCTCGCTCCATGTGCAGGAACCTACCCGTATAGATGTGTATGCGCATGCGCACACACATTCAAATAAATTCAGCATGAATTTCCACATACATGTATAAATGTACACAGAGAGGGAGGGAGAGAGAGAGAGAGAGAGAGAAGCGAGAGAGACGAGCGAGAGAGAGGGAGAGACAGCGAGACCAAGTTGAGGCATTTAACCATCGCCCTTACAACGAAGTGGGTCGAAACCGTAGCCGGCCTGTTCGCGCATTCACGCTCTTCAGTTGGAGCGAAGCTTTGCCGATTTGATAATTCCGAGTGAACCAATTCCTCAGGTCGGGGCCAGCAAAGAAGAGCTTCCGCATCCGGACCACTGTGAGTAGCAAAACCAGGGCTTACACATATGATGGTTTCGCCTTCCTGGACTCTTGGTCAGGGATGTAGGGCATCTCCTAGAGGCTCAGCCTTGGCCACAAGTCGACTACGGCACAGCCGAATACATCTGCCCTGCCAGATGCACGATCCGGGATAGCTTTGAGACCCACATTCTTCCGGCTTACAACGCACAGGACAAACACATGTCACATGTTGCAATGACAAGGCTAAGGTTGCTTGAGATCTCCTCTCTACAGCTTCTGGCTGGTTCCGTGAAGCTTGATCATAGCTTGTGCTAGAGTACCAGATGTGCGATTCACTTCTTCTTGCTCTTAAAGTGCGAGCCCCCGATTTCTGTACAAGAACGCTCGTCACACTTCTTGGCCTGCCAAGAATATGACTACTCCCCGGATCAGGACACGAAACCCCGCTCACATTCAGAATGTAGCTGCGCCGAGTCGCCTTGCATAGACGGTGAATTCTATGTAGGCCGACTCAAACCTGAGGAGAACAGAAGAAAGACGCTCTACACTTACCTCCAAAACACCTTTCCTTGCAGCGCTGGCAGTTGCCCACATCCTGTCCAACAAGATCCTAGGGAATGCCCCTTAAATAAGGAATATCTAGGGTTCCTTAAAGGGATCTATAGGGTTTAGGGTTTGGGGGATTCTAACCCCCTTAATTCAAGAGGCTCTTCTGGGTAAAGCTCCACATCTGGCCAGATGTTGTCCTCGTTCCACGAGACGAACATGGCCTTACCGTCGCAGGCTGGAAATCACTTCAAGCCTCTTCCTGTGGAGAACATATGGGAGTTTCCGAAGATAGGGGACCCTGATATAGTACCCTAAACAGTAGGATCCTTATTATATGAAGCAGCCTCTCTTTTCGGACACCCCAACCTCCGTCAGAAGCATGGACTCTTGATTCCAAACCCCGCTCCGGGCGGACTCCAGAATGTTGCTTGCAGCGCAGTCGAACGGAATTGGCTGGAGAAAGGGGAAGAAACGACACAAACCCGTACACGCCAGAATTGAATGGAAGCTTGCCCAAGATAACTTTTCACAGAAGTCGCCTGTTTTGGAGTCGCACAGGGCCCCGAAGCCCAAAATGTCTGGATGAACCACAGAACATATATGGGAGTTTCCGAAACTAGGGGACCCCAGTATAGTACCCTAAATAGTAGTAGGATCCTTATTATAAGGAGCCCCAAAGTAAGGTACCCATAATTTTGGGTAACTCCCATATCGAATATAGTCCCCTCTTAGCACCGGCCGGGCCTTCCCCTCCTTGGTGTCGGTCTGGTAGCGCTTGCCACAGCCTCAAGGCTCAGAACTGGGTGCTGCGCTGTCGTTGAATCCAGCCGCCTCACCTCTTTGACTTTGATCTTGAGGATGTGCCAAGCAACATTCCACCACCACAAAAGGGTCGCATGGCTGGCTATCTTCAGTCGTCAGATTTCTTGCCTCGGTGCTTCGGATATCGGGGTCCGATGTACTCAAAACGTGGCGAGCGCGCCCACGGCACTGCAATGTTACAATGTTACATGCTTAGCCATGTTGAATAGCCAAGCGGCATCTGCGATTTCGAAGCCAACCACATACTTCTGCATTGCGGCGGCATAGGCATCGGCAGGGAAGCCACTACATGGGCTGGCAGCAGAGCTGAGCCGATAGAATGCAACAACCACCCTATGCTCAAACGAGAGGGCGGCTTCGCCGGTCGCAGTGGGCCAATGTCCGAACTCCACTTTCAGGCTTCACTTCCAGGCTTGGCAAATCGACAGAACAAGCGCAGCTGGACTAACATCAGGAGCAAGAACCACACGAGGCCTCAGCGTTCTTCAGGGCATAGGCGACATTGATCCGGAGGCGGCATGGCGGTGGTCCTGTGCGCTTTGAACTGAAGCCCGGGTATACATGTATGTCCCAAATCCAATACTTTTCAATCTCCCTCCTCCCACGCACAAAACTCAAGACAAACAATCAAAACAAGCACCCAAACCGCAAAGTTGCAGACTCTGCCACAGGCACCTCGGCGTGGGCGGCTCAGAAGCAGCGCTCGGCGCTGGCGAAGGGCTTCTTCGCCACCGCCCTCATGGAAAAGGGGTTCCGGGCCGCTTCGCAAGACATCGTCACTTGACTGGGAAAAACAGACCGTTCAGCTCCAGGCTCGCGTTCGCAATTAACTGGCAAAGAACATGCAGTCGGGACAACGATCCCAGAACCCAGGACTGTATTATGTGCTATGGTTTGCCTAGCTTTAGGTCTTCGTCAGGGTTTTGTAGAACGGAGAGTGCAACATCCTTGGGCTTAAACTCGAGAGGCCATTCGATCTCACAGCCTGACTTGCCAGGGGTGTCCAGCCCCTCCTGAAGCTGCCGTCGCCTATTTATGTCAATGCATCTGTCAACAATACCTATCCATCTGCCTAAAGCTATTTAAGAATATTTAACTATTTTAACTATCCCTATATCCATCTACCTACCTGTGTAGCCATCGATTTATGGATCGATCTGTCTATGTCTCTGCCTATCTACAGTCTATCCATCTACCTGTGCATCTATCGGTTGATCTAAGTATCTATCTATCTATCTAGATATCGACCTATCCACCCATCTATCTACCTGTCTGCCTGAATACCGATCTAACGATCGTTCTAAGTACATAGGTTGCATCTATGAGTTTATTTGTCTGTTCGTCTGAGACTTTATAGATATCGCATGTACTGTCTGATCGCTTGTTTCCACATGCGGCCACATGAATTCATTTAACACTACTCAGGCAAGGTTGTCAGTCATTGATGGCAGGGGGACATGTGCGGGACTGGGCCGAGGGCACCCGCTTGGATCAACGATCGGTCTTGTTAGATGTAGTGTTGCTGTAGTCGCGGCAATAAAACTTAACGGACAGGACAGCTTCCGAAGACAGGTTGGTCCCGTCACACTGGCATTAGCAAGAACGTAGCACAGCAACTTTTCCATCCTGGACTCTACGTGCTCCTGTCTGCAACCCGCCTTGGCCATGGGAGGGCGGCGCGGAACGGTGCAACTTTGCTCCAACCAAAGCAGCTGCCCGCGCAAGTGAGAGGTAGAAGCGGAGAAGAGCAAGGAAGACGATGTGACGAGAATTCAGAACTTCCGAAGCAGAAGGGACCATTAGAAACAGCGGCAGAGAGCGAGTGAGTGCTACGGAGGCTTGAGTCCTGCGAATGACGGAGGCTCCTGAAACCTCCAGACCCTTCCTGGCATGAAAGTGCTGCGACTCCAGTCATGTTTTGCGATTGTGGAGGTGCGCCTCGTCTGGTCCGCTAGAAGACACAGACAGCAGGCACCGCAAAAGCAACAGTCTCTCGGCGGAGAGACCGTATTAGGCTGAATAGATATGGAAAAGAAGAGGTTACTCCAGGGTTCTTTCCTGGAGGGCCCATTTGAGCTGAAGGCTGATCCAATTTCCAATGACCTCCAGGGCGTCTCGCAGTTGTATCGGCAGGTCTTACACTTACCTTTGGGTAGTAGGGAATGCAGGAATGGGTACAAGTATAACTACTATTACTACCATTCTTCCATTCCCTACTAACCAAAGGTAAGTACAGGCTTGCAGAGGTCATTGGCAAGTCGGCGGCCACATCATCTCACTGTTAGATGGTATGCCCCTCAGCAGCTCGCTTCGGGCACTGGTATTTCCTGGGGTCCCATGCTTCATTAAAGCCTGCAGGAGCCTTCTGCAGCCATGCATCGAACTATGCTGAATCAAGTGGGGTGCCCGAAATGACCATCACCATCTTCGGGAAATGACTCCCAAGCTGCGACAAGCTTTGCCCGGGCTCCGGCTCAGTAGACGTTGTGCGTCTTGGGCTCCCTTTGCAACGTGGCAGGAATTGCAGTTTGGCTTTGGGCGGTTGGGTTCTTTCCGGTCGCTACGATTTCTGCTACTCGCGCTGGAACTTCGGAATGTGCCAGAAAGAGTCTGCAGGCTGCAGGCTTCACATGGCTTCACCGGCACTTAAGCAACCCAAGTGCGAGCCCGAGAAGCTGCTAGCTGCATGTACATGGGGAGAGAATTGAGAAGCTTTTCGACTGGCACACTCGCTCCAGGCAGGCACGGCTTCTTTTTTCCTCTGACGCAGGTGAAAGTTGTTGCTGTCTTTCCTAGGCACTATCGGCACAGGTCTTTGTGCACTTCTGCGAAGAGCCGACGAAGATTCCTCGGCTTCTGCTGCCGCTGTCCCTTTTTGCATGCACGAGGCCTATGATTGTGGTATCTTCGGTAGGCTTCCCATCAGCTTAAGCTCGAGGCTCCGTGCAATTCGTCACCTCACTGAGTCGAAACAAAATGCGGCGGCTGACTGTACACTGTACACGGCAGTCTTCAGCCTCGGACCCCTAACACAACGTGATGTGGAGCTGCTGCGGACCAGCAGGCCTGTTACTCTCAGATACCTGCAAGCTCTCCAGTTCAGGGTTTAGGGACAGTTTAAGGTTCAGGGTGTAGGGTTAGGCCTGAGCCTGAATCCGCAACAGCCTAGGCTCGGTCAGTGCTCATGCGCAAACCTTGAGGTCCAAGCGACCATATCCCAATCGCACTTTGTGCATCACACTCCTGTCTTCCAGCTCCATCTTCGTCCGGAGTTTCAGGATCTCCCTTTCGTGGAGGGTCTCTCCTCCCTCCTGTCTCTTTGCCAACTTCTCAATCTCACGAAGCTTCTTCTCGATCTTTCGCGCTTCTCGTTCCTCCAGCTCACTGAGCTGAAGCTTGCCGGGTGTCAGCACATCCGCAGGTGTCGGCTTCTTGGCTTCTGGCGACGGTCTGGTCAAGCTGGCCTTCGTGCTAGCCTCGGAGACCAGAGACTCCTCGTCCGCACCCTTCCTGCGAAGCTCGGGCTTCTTTGGAGAGGGCTGCGGACGCTCCGGACACAGCTTGTCCACGTGGCCCACGCCTTTGCAGAAGTTGCACATCTTCAGGAAGGGCTTCTTGCAAGACCTCGCTTCATGGCCTGGTTCGTTGCACCGCGAGCACACCATCGGGCTGGCTGAGGCCATGATTCCTTCGAGCTGGCAAAGGAGGGAAGGGACGAAGAGGCACAGAGGCGAAAGGCTTGGAGATCGCTGTTCTACTTGAGCCAAAATGGAGAAGCTTTTGGTCTCTCGTGCTCTTTGGGTAAAACGCCAAATCCATCGAGCCATGTCGATCACTTATCACGAAGCCTAGCCCAATCCGAACCTGGAGCAAAGGCTAGGCTGGGTGCAGATCATGGTTCGGTTTCGACTCGCACACTCGCACTCAGCAGGCAGGGCTTCAAATCTAGGTCCGATTTTGCGGTCCTGAAGATACAAGGCTAGATCCCAGATTCAGCCCCAGCTTGTGCCTTCGAAATGTAACACTCCTGACTCACAAGGCCGCCGAGAGTCACTGCCAAGGTTTTGTCGTGGAGCTTGAGGAAAGTCTGGCGCTCGCACAGTCCGTACTCCGGGCCTCGGGCGAGTTTGACGGAAGGCATCTTTCCCCGTGAAGGACATGGCAGGTCGTGCTGCGACAATTAGAAGACAGCGGCCATGCAGGCGAACTGCGGTAGTTATGCTTTGGGGTAGTGAGGGGAAGCCTACTGCAACCATATGCGACGAAGCTACCGGCATGACACTTGCATGACACTTGCACCTGGCTGCGAGAGCAAACCCTGGCAACCTACATTCTAAGAGTTCTCACCTTGCCCTCCAGCCTGGCCGGAGCCTGAGCCCCGGTCCCATGAGGCTCAGCTGCTGGTATCGCACACCGCGCGTCGCCTTAATGCAGGTTTCCGCCGGCGAGGGAGGGACCAGCGACGTACGCGAGTGCGAGTGATCGACGGACGTGGACGCGGAGCTCCAACCCTGAGCTCGAAGCCGACACGGCGGCCGAAGTGCTCTCGTGGTGCAGACTCCCGGGTCACAAGCCAGAGGCCGGCCCCGTCTGGCTTCCAAAAAAAAAAGTGCGCCGATTTCAGAAAACCCGATGTCTCTTCTCCTACTTCTCAATATTGAAGCGGGCTCAGGGCAAGACACACTCCAGCTCTCAAGCCGATTTGAAGTATTTTCCCCCGAGTCCCTGGCATAGGCAATGTTCATATGCGTGTGGCCGAAGATGTGGATCGGCGCTCCCACGGCCTGGATCTGCCTTTGACGTCTACCGCGGTTTAGGGAGGGAGGGGATGTGTAAGCACCTGGTGGCCACGAGCCGCCACTGCCACAAAACTCGAAAGGGCAATGAGGCCCGTATCAATTACATCACGCTGATGAACGAGCACGGTTCAGATGGCAAAACATGGTCAAACAGCAAATGCCGAGGAAAGACAGTGGTCTGATCCCAAAACCGGACGCTTGCTGAGGCTTCGGGCTCCTCCAGCTGGAGGCAGCCGCTGGCCTCGCAAGGTCTGCTCGATTTTTTGCTCGCGCCGGCCAGGTTTAGCTGAGGCTTCAGCTACACATGCATAAAGAAGGCTACATGGTAGTATGCAGCCCACTGGACCTATCGACAAAAGGCAACGAGTAAAGGCCCTGCACGGCTCAATAGAAGTATGTGGCAGGGATTGCATCTAATCTTACACACCGCGAAACTCATCTCGGCCTTAATGAACAGCAAGCAGTGACAGACATCACTGGCCATCGCGACTGATTCTACTGATTGCTTGCGGGAGCTTGTCCAGGAAATTGCCGGTGCCCCCTCATAGCGACATCGGAACATCATGGCGGCCCTTGCGATCCAAACCCGCAACTTCACTCAACAACATAAACCAATCCGCTTAGACACACGAAGCCCTGTGTGAACCTTGACAGGAGCACCGCCGCAGGGCAAGTCCGAGGTCGGCCTTGGCAAGCCAGAAGCACCAGTCACAAGATTTAAGCTTTTGCTGGCAGTGTTTGTTAACATGGATATGAACTTCCCGCCTTGTTTCCACCAATCCTGGGACAGTGGCAAAGTCACATCTTGGACTCTGTCACTGTCTCGTTATGCTGACCCATAAGCTTCCAGGTGCAACATACTTCGGTCACACTGCTCAGAGAAGCCAAGGCCCATGGCAGAAAGTGGCTGAAGGTGATGACATCTCCCTTGCGGCCCCTGGCTTCCTGCCCACGGGTTCCGGATGGTGTGTTTGGCTCATTCAATGGGGGGGTGGATGGATGCGATGTATGGATTGATCGATCCATCTAGCGATATCAACCTATCTACCTGCCCAGCTCCTCCCATCCGTCTACGCATCTATTCATCCATGTTCTGTTCCAGTCTTTTTCTCGGAGTAAATAACTCACGATTTCAATAAAAAGAGGTTTGGCCAACCGTCACCCCTCGGCCACTCATCCAGCTCTTCCTACTTCCTGGCTTCGCCGACTCATCCACTTGCCGCCACCCGGAGGTTCAATGTTTAAGGCGTGGCTAAGTTGCTTGTTGTTGCCTCCCGCGTTGCTTTATATTGGATCGGGCTGCAGTGGCTTACGGTAGCGGGAACAAAGGCTCTTGCCGGTTGTTTGCCAACCGCCCAGCCGACTACGCCGGGAACTCGTCCGCACTCTGAGGAGTTCCCAGGAAAGCTGTGTCCTTGACGGTTTCGGTGTTTGGGGTTGAAGCCAGGAAGGGAAAATGCCCGCACCGAGGTGATGACTCGGCCCTGAATGTGGGTTAACCATCCGGCTCCTGCTGCTTCTTGATGCGGCGCACGAAATAGTCGTTCCACTGCAGAAAGTACTTGTGTGCTCCTTCCTCACCCATGGGCCACCTTCCAGCAAGGGAAGTTAGGCTGAGGCTCTTGTGTGTGCAGACGGGACACGCGACGTCAAGTCTCAACTACCGCTGTTGAAGGAGAGGCGGCAGGTGAAACACATAGGTTCAGCCGAAAACATCGAAGTCCAATCCGAAACCTTAGCCTGGGGCTGCAGCTTACAAAAGGAGTCGTATCGCACATCGTCTGGGCGTGGATCGCCCTCACAAAACCTTTGCGAGAGGTAAGACCCGAGCAGGTGCATTAAATTGGTTCGTACGAAGGATCTGTTGAGTTGCTTAAACAAAAAGACTCCCCAAAGGCCAAACCATGGCAGACCTGCTATGGAACTACTTCGGACTCTTTTCATACAAAGTAACTCGCCAAGCACAGACCTGCAGTGCAACTCTTTTGCCCCAACATGTGCTATGACGGTTCCTGTCATCTTCACAAGTTTCTACAAGTCTAAAGGTCACATGCGAAACATGATGCACATGCTGCCGCTCCATGAGGCAAGACCTCCAACAACATGTTGAAACATCACCGGACGCAGAGGGGATGTGAGGGGCGAACGTGCAGCTCCACCAGGACAAAAGAGGAACCTTGGCCGGGTTGAATCGAAACGGATGCGGAACGAGGGCTCGAGGGAAGCGGAGGAGCTGATGTCCATGCCCAAGCTGATACACAGCCTGAATGAGGCGGACGGCGGGCATCAGATGTCGTCTACCCAACGGCAATGACTTACGACTGAAACGTCGCCCGCGCAAGTGCTCAGATCCGGCTCGCAGAGAAATCGTGCTCAGATGAAAAAAGATGCGAATACCGTTGGATCAATGCTGAGCTCAAGGCGACGTACACGTCCTGCATGACCTGCTTAGTGAGGATTCGCCATGTTGCATTGGATTGGAAGCACGGAGCCGAAACCCCACAGACTCCACTTGGAATCTGACAGGTCCGTCCACTCAGGAGTTTAGATCGGGATACATGTGGTAATCAGGAAGCAGGAACCACCCAACAAAGTCACGCGAGGGGACGGAGGAAGGAATTCACAAACCTGGCAAACCGGAAGAGACATGGAAAGACGGAGGCGGCGGCCTCAGCAGGCAGCATTTCGGCTCCGATTTTGTCGCCTCGGTGACACCGCCGGTATGCGTAGCTGGAGCTTGAACATGGGAGTACTGTCACGTATTGTGCTTGCCGGCTGGTTGTGTTCTCCACGCCGAAAATGGGACGGTGCTACAGACTTTCCTCAGGAGGCACCGGCAAACGATTGTCAGAATCTTTCCATCGACCATACGTGGTGTCAGGCGGCACATCTCGAGCATGGCCAAAAGTTTGTCGATGGAGTCCTTCAAACAAGCAGTGAGGCACCCAGACTGCGTATGTTCATCTATGTTCTCAACACGTAGACGTGCGCTCAGAGCCGATCGAAGCGAACCGGAGCGACAACAAACAGTATTCACGTCGAAATGCTATATAGTGCTAGTTAGATGACACATGAGGCCTCGGGATGGCTGATGCTTGTGTCGGCAAAGCCATGGCAACCGGGCTGGCAACGGATCCGTGAAGCGGTATGGCTCGACCGTGCAACGTGATTGTCCAGCCTTACCCTTAGGTTCACAAGCCTGATGCATTCATGATTTCGGGCCCAACTCGGAAATCACGTCAAACACATGCCATGTCTGGATCCTTAAACTTCTTCTTCTTGGAGTCGTCCGTGTTGGGCCGGATCCACATGTCCTCAGAGTGAGACAATACTCAGTGTTCAAGGAGCTGCAACCACCTCCAACCGACTCCAACCCTGATATCTAGACAACCTATAAGTTCGACCAGTTCGACCTCACGAGCTGGAAAGAAGCTTGCGTAGCTTTGTTGATACGCCTCCTGCTACGACCACAACAATTACGAACCATACGACGACCATCATTCCACCACCTGAATGCTGCAGCCGGGTTCAAAACCTCGATAGCATAGGGACTCAAGCCATGGTCATATCTTGCTATGGTTGATCGAGTTTTCATATCGGGGATCCAGCACGGTCAACGGCAAGGAACATCCCATGCTGCCAAGACTCGCAAGAAACCCCATTGCTTTGAACGTTTTCAATGTCAACCCCCTATCCTCTTGCAACTAAGCTTTGGGCCTCAATCCTCTGCCCACGAAAACTGAATCCTTCCATCGACGAGTCGTTGCCGCCCGGGCGCATGGTTTCCAGGAACATAGAAGACCCGCCGGAACTTCTTCCTGAAGATCATGAGCCCACGCCTCAGAAGCTATTGCCGGGATTGGCTTTGCCGATGATGGCTCGGTCGAGGAGAAATCGATTCGACACGGCGCCAATGGGCAATGCACATAGAGATCTCGCAAGTTGAGCTCAGTGCCTGAACGCTTGCCAGCGCCATAAGGTTTTAGAGTTCCCCAATCTGTACTACCATCCTGAAGGTCTGCAGCCACCAAATTTGAGAACTTGCGCTCGGCAAAAACTCTCCCGTAGGCTCTAGACTCAAGCTATGGTGTCAGCCCTGAGCAACTATCTGAAAGGTACAGGCGAGATCGATCTGTATAGCTGTATCTTTATCTATTTATGTTTGTGTATACATATATAAAATATATATAATATATATATATATATATATAATATATATATATATATACATAGTGAACCCTACAAAGTTGGAACATGGATTTAGGAGGATCAGTGCTAGGATTCCCTATACTTTGCTTGAAGAGCATGAGGCTAATGATGTTCCAACTTTCTGGCTTCTACTGTGTATATATATATATATATATATACATTATTTGTGTGCTTGTTTGAACTCCAGCACTCATATCAGCAAGGTATAGCAACAAATGCATCTCACTGCCTGATGTGCGTGTTTTTCGCCGGACGCTGTACACTGTACACGCCCTCACTTCGGGGCCATCCGGATCGTCATGGCTGCATGCACACAGCCTGCTCGCATCTCCGACCATGTTGCCGGAACTCAGCAGACAATCTACATCCAGCTGTGTTCTTTAGTAGTGTCTCTCTGTTAACTCGCGTTCAGAAGTTCTTACTTTCACCTCCTAAAATGGCAGCATACGGTGTCACATGTCATTGTCAACATGCCATGTGCTACTCCTTGTGGTGTCTTATATAAACAGCTATGTGTATATATGTATGTATATAATATATATATATATATATATATATATATACATATGTGTATGTATATGTGTACACGTGTGTGTGTGTGTATGTGCATGCATGTATGTATATGTGTGTATGCACCTATGCATGCGTGCATGCATACGTACGTAGGTATGCATGAGTATGTAAGTGTGCATGTGTCTACGTTTGTGTGTTGTCTGCTTGCATGTATGCATAAGTGTGTACATGTGTCAGCGTAGCTAATTATTCACGCACTTACAGCAGCGCATATGATTCAACGGGGCTGAAAGCTGCGAGATGATGCAAGCAATGTCGGGAAAAACGCCTTGGCGTGCAGTCACGGGCATGTGGATCTGGACTGATATTGCTATCTGCATCGCAGATAAGAGGACTTCTTCTGGTCAACACGGGACGACGTTCACTGTGCTTTTGTCACTCTATATAACCATGACTCCGACTGGCATGTCAGTTGTAATTGAAATCGAGGGGACAATGGAACTGTTCTGCGCTAGTTTCGAACCCTGAGGTAGCCACTCTAGACTTGACATCGTCAGGGTCTGACCTCAGCTTCAAACTTCAACCTTGCCCCAGCCTATTCTCCCGCTGCAGGCACTTGGCTATACTCTCGCAAGTGTGTTTGCGTTCTTGTGGGGCCGCGTGACTGCACACGCAGGCGTCGCGAGGCCGAATGCAAACAGCTTCAAGTAACTACTTTCCTGGAACGCATGCAACTCCAGCTTGCAGCCGTACTACCGGTGGCACCTGGTGACAGCTGCGCAAGATAAATGGATTGACGAAATAAAGTAGTCTGACGGAGCTGCGTGGCTACAGCCCGAGTTCATGCGCGTCCCCTGTCTGAGGAGGCTTCCGATGAACCGATATAAGCCATTTCAAGAGCACTGCTGCATGGCCGCCCTCAGAGTCACCATAAGTCCGGGTCAGCGTTTGCGCCCGGAGAATAGGTGTTGCCCATGCGGTACACCGACTTGATCTCCTGGTACAGGTCGAAACAGTTGACAGAACCTGCTAGGAAAAACACACCTGTTTGGTCAAGTGAATACATATATAAATATACACATACACACACAGTTAGTTAGATACATACATACGTATACATCTGCCGATGATGTATACACCTGCCCCCTTAATTATATGTATACCCACATGGGACCGTTGGCGGCTGGTTGGCGACAAACACTATACACACTACATACTCTCACGATTGCATACATACATGCGTACACACATATATATATTTAGATAAATATGTGACCGACGTACATGCGTGCATATGTTAAAAATACGCACATGCATACATACATACAGACCTATAAAGTATGTACACGCAGAGGGACGCACTTACATACTTGCGTACATACATACACACATATTACATCGTATGTACATAAATACATGCACACACAGACATGCACACCATCATGCCGACATACACGCATACACACATACATACGTACCTGCGTGCCTGCCTGCCTGCCTGCCTGCCTGGCTACCCATAGACTGACAGACCGACACCAGGACTCACCGGCAAACACACATACGCACATGCGTAGCTAGTTACTGGCATACCTACATGAACCAATGGAGCGCACAGGAACACTTGTGTATGCAAGTCAAATCTACAGACGAAATTCCAATCCCTGATTGTTCCTTGGGTAATGCTCCAAGGCCTGCGAGAACTCCCCACAGTTGGTGTAATTGGAACCAACAGCCGAAAACGGAACACTGGGAGCGGTGAAACCTAATCACCTAATCGCTCGAACGCACAACATATGTTTGAGCTACTGATCGTGGCTGTTCCAGGACCACTCTTCACAGATACGGTCCATCGGCCCTCAAGACAATGGAGAAGCTTGCATGTAAACTACGTCAGCTGGAGACTCAGCAACCTGCACATCCTGTAGCCACAAGATGTGCTAAGTACTTCCAAGTCACAGGCCTCCAGGTGTTTGGGATCCAAGGCTTCCTTGACCTGTGCCCACTCGACCTTAGAAGCGGCACACAAGAAGTGCATCCCTTCCGGCTGCGTGAGCCCACAGAATGTGGGCTGCCCATAAAGTCGTCAAACGAAATTGTAACTTCTAAACAATTACGCCAGGAGAAGTTCCACTGTGCCCTCTGCATCCACCAGCCTTCTAGGACACGACAGCTTCCAGCAATTGCAACCCCAAGATCCGGACTTCAATCTCAATACCATCGAAGCTATTACAGAATCCTTGTGTCCAATATGGTCTATGTGGTGATACACTGCTTGCAAGGCATGTTGCTGGATCCTCTTGGAGCTTTCGGCGATTCGTGGATAGAGTATGGCGAATCTCCTCACCTCAGTTGAGATCGTTGCCGCAACTCCACTTTTCCCAATGCCAAAGCCAGGATGTATGCATGGGTGCACTTCATCATCGTTCTGGGCAGCAAATGTCTCTTAATCCTTAATATTCACCGAACTGAAGAAAGTCCGGTGATGAGCATGAGTTAGACCGCAACTGCGCTGCAGGTCGCCATTCGCGATAGCCATACCCCATTCTAGTTGCCCCTGGCAACCAATCTCTACGATAACCTCCAAGTTCATTCTTAGGAATGTATAGCAGGAAGTGCTCCAAGCGGGCGAGCGGTCGCTTAGGTCTTTCTTTTCCGGGGTGGCGTGGGTCCTCAGTCTAGTCTTTCATTTGCAACATGCCCAAAACTCCTGGGTGTTTCAAGTTTTTGCTGAACCCTAAACCCCAAAGTCAGCAACAAAAATAAGGAAAACCAAGGGCTCTATTTATAGCCTTAATCAGAGGCTAGACGGAAGATTTAAGCGACCCGAAAAAGAAGTCTGAAGTGACCCAAGGGGCCGCTCCTAGTCTCCATGCCCTGAGAGAAACAGAAAGAAACACAAGGCTGCAAGGCTGCTTCAAGATCCCATGCCACCGGTACATCCCTTGCATGTATGAGATCGAGTACTGCTTCAGCACGGCAGGGTTGGCATGTTAATGACAGGATTGCTGCATCCGTACTGCTGACCACCTCAAGTATTATGCGCGAGCCTGGCACGAAACAGCAGCTGCAGCAAGCAGTATCGGCACGGCTTGGGCTTAGGCAAGCTGCTAAGGACTTAACCCAGAGCAAACAGAGTAAGACTCTGCATGGCATGCCTGAAATTTTCCACCATTGCTTCCCCAAGAGCTTCAGCCAAACAAGGAGCAGAAAGATCTGGATAAGAGAGACTGCTGATTATGAAGGCATCATGCATGAAACTCCAATTTCGGAACACCGGGAGTGGTGCTGGCTATGTAACTTCGGAAACCTTTCACCTGCATGAGAAAATCTATCTTCAAACAGCAAGGGAGAACCGTTGGGCGCAAACCTGCACTGCAACCGCAGAACTCCGAATTTCCAGGGGCCCGACGGGTGAGCTCATTGTAAGGGATCCCGAGCTGCTCCAGCTCGATCCTGTGCGAATATCTGAGAGTCTGAAGCAGCACCATGTAAGCAAACAAGGGTGGCGACGGGCTGGGCATCGGCTAGACAAGAAAAGGCCAGGGGCAACAAGGTTAGAATCAGCGACCGCAAGTTTCGGGTACTTAGC